CTCTCTCTCTCTCTCTCTCTCTCTCTCTCTCTCTCTCTCTCTCTCTCTCTCTCTTCGCCGTTATGGTTGGTTCATTTGATTCTTCGTCGGGGACACAAGCTTACGACTGGTTTTATATAAGTTGCGGTATATTGCTTTTTCTTGCGACCTACGCACAACGGGGACCAACAACGGAATAAAATACGTCTGGGTGGGTATTATATTGTTGCAGTTCAAGGGAACGCGAGGCATTTTTCTTTTTTCGATTCAGACGTCTGGACTATAATTCTTCGCGCATTTAAACGAAGATGACGAGTAAATTTTCAAACGATTTTTAATTTACGAAGCTATAAATGAAATAAAGATTATTTTTTCTTTGACTTTTTATAATTGAAGAAATATTAAATTTTGTTATAAAATTTTCGTTTGAATTACCTTCATATTAATTTCCTTCGTCAAAATAAATAAAAAAAAAATTTCATCGAATTAAATCAATTATAAATATTTTAATCCATCAATCATCTATTTATAATCTCGAAACTTATATTTCTTGAAATATTCATACGTAAAATTGATCAAAATTTATATCAACATGTTCGAGTACATTTTCGAACGAAAATTACGAATGCATGTAATTTCTCGATATGCACATGTACTTATATCTGGTAACATATCTACGGTGCACCTTAATCAACCGATATCTCGTATGCAACTCGGGTGTAAGGAACCTTTTGCGCTTGCAAACTTCTCCGTCGTGCTTTAAATAATTCAGCGAACCGTTACTCCGACACGTGGATAGTCCCTTCTATGTCCGTCTCTCCCGTCTTCTTTCACTGTCTACCAGCAGCTACCTGTCCCATCCCATTTTTTTTTTCAAGGTATACCGCATCTTCCGTGGTGCAACGATGAAGGTCCGAGACGAGCGCGGCCGGTCACTGCACTCATTACTTATTCCTCCGCCTTGGAAAACGTTCATCGTCGATTCGCATAATTCTTAAATTGGCGTTAGTTACGCAATCTTGTTAGAAAATTATTAATCCAGATCAACGTTACTCCAACATTCCTCGTCGAGTCGAAAGCCGGATTAAATAATATATCATTGGACATTCGAGTAAAAATGCATTTTTGCGATAACGAAGACGAAGACGATCGTTTTCTTTAGAAGAAAAGATGAGAAGAAAGATTTTCCTTTATTCTTGAGATATACACGATATCGGTTTACTTTCCTCGTTTAAAATCGACTATCAAGACTAAGGGTTGGTTTCTATTTACAGGTGTACGCTGCTGACTCGACATAGTTTTCCTTAAAAGGTTCACGTTGATTGGATACCTTGGTTTGCACGAGAAGAAGTGCACCGTTCACATAGCTCGGTTTGAAAATAACAGTGAAAAGAAGACATCAGGTACAACATATTATTTAACATGCCTTATCGATAATTTATGGAATTTGTTAAAAATTTCTGAGGGATATACAAAATAGACATAAAAATTTTGTATTTCAACTAAATTTTAATTTTAAATGTATTTTTAAAAACGTTTAAAAATTTGATTAGTCAAACTTCTAAATGCTTTTAAAAATTTATCATAATTTTAAAAGAGTTAATATCTATATCTTTTTTTCTTTTTTTAAAGTACTTCTAACCAAGGATAAACGTTTAAAAATTTAGTTAGTTAAACTTCTAAATGCTTTTAAAAATTTATCATAATTTTAAAAGAGTTAATATCCATATTTTTTTTCTTTTTTTAAAGTTTTTTTTATCGTATCTTTAAAAAAAAAATCATTTATGTATTATGATGTATTGTTATCTGATTGTTTAATTTTTGCAACCAAGGATATTTACCTGTGTGTGAAGGAAAATAATTTTTTGTTCAATTCAATCATACAAATATACGCTAACTTCTCTTACATTGCGTGATATATGTAAAAAGTGATTTAGCTGATTCGCTCTAAGAAAATTATCGTAAACTATTGACTTACACCTAGGTGAGTATAAGTACTCTCGATTACTCTGTCTGGCTAGGGACGCTTTAAAGGTTTCTAGAATCCCTTCTAGAAGGGAAAGGGAAGATGAGGGAATATTAAACGTAGCAGCATAGTTTAAGCTGCACTATTATTAAGCTACATACATCGAATCGATAACAATTTGTTACTTCTAACCAAGGATAAATAAAATTAATTTACAAAAGATCGAGACACGTTTAAACATCGTGATTATTTATGCGGATAGAAAATTCAACAAAAGCTATTTAGTCGATGGATACAATGATAAGTTGTTGAACTGGTTTTTAAATAGCGCGTGTATGCAGAAGTTTCTACGCCTATGGAGAAGAGTTTCGATGCTTTAGTTTCGAACAAAGTTAGTTACCGATGGTATGAAGGTATTAAATTGTTTAATTTCTTATTTTTTCGCGTCTGTGTAAAAATTTACGTGGCATGCGAGGAAAAGAAAACTTAGAAAAGGACAATGTCCATAATAAAACATGAAAATCATATAGTGGTCTAAATTAGTCTATCAATATCGTCTACACTTTCGTAACGCAATATTTCGCATTTATTATTGTAGCAAACTCGGTATATTTTTCAATGTTATGAAAACATGTCAACGATAAAGAATGAAGTTACAATTTACGTTAGTTGACTATGAAACTAAACGGATGATATTTTTAGATAACTAAATAGAACGATCAGAGCTCAAATTCTCGAGATTTTATTATTTTATTTTATTATTTGTCGCGTCGCACGAGAAAATCGTATATTTAAACCGTTAACTTTTTTATTCAGTCCCTTTCACGTAATTT